CGGCTGCTTCCTCGGGGTATTCTTCATCGAATGACTTCCATGCTTCCCCTCCCGATGGATGTACGATTTTTTTTGGATTGTACCTTATACCTTCCTTGTGCCACTTCATCATTTTGGCAGACTCCTTCGTGATGAAAAGGCGCTGCAGTCTTTTTATAAAATCAAGATACCGAAGAACCTTAACGGGGATGGTTAGCTGCTTTTTCTCACCATCCTCACCGACCACCTCAATGTACCGAGACGAACCGCACTTCCTACAGTACTTGTCATCCGCATACTCGTGCCTAAACAAAAGGCAATTCTTCGGGCAAACATCTATTTTCTCATAATCCATAGAGAGTGCCTTCATGATTTTCTTTGTATCGTACATGCTTTTCGGCAGTTCATGACCCTCAGGGAGGCTGTTAGCCCATACTCCCAGGAATGCTTCGAAGCATTTCTGGCTACAGCCGTACTCAGCCTTGACTGCAATCAGTTGCGAGATGGCATCCAGCTGAGATATTTTTGCACCCGCATAAAGAGGTTTCTTCGACGAGGCCAAGACCTCCAAGAAGGCCTTTGCGGTTGCCTCCGGCTCCTCCGGTTCATTCTCTAAAGGTGTCGCATTTGCCGTTTCTGCAACAATGACATCATCTAGCATGTCCCTGACCCCGTCGTCCTCACATCCATCGATGCGTTGTCGCATCACCTCCTCTCTACCACAGTCCTGCTCGGCTATGTTTATTGGCGGCATGTCAAAGTTTGGCATATATCCGTGCGTGCGAAGGTGCTCACTCATGTCCGTATGATTTCTACGGTGACGTCTGGCACATATCGCATAGGGGCATGGTGGGATAATTCTCATTGGACGACGGAATATCTCCTTCAAATACACATCGGTTTTCGCGATCCACTCTGATGTTACTCGATTCCGACGGATAAAACCACTATACATCCACTGATTATCTGCCATCCTCTGCTATTTTGCAAACCACACAACATAATTAAGGATTCACTTAAATTAATCACATCAAATTTTCAGTTTCTACCGCGTTGAATCCACCTACATCTCTAATAGGTAAAGATGGGTCCTAATCCCACCCGAGGATGTGTAGATTGAGTATGTTCTCCATTCTACCCCGTTCCGAGACAAAATTTCGGCAGCACCTCCCCGCTGTTCTCCAGATACACGTCTCGGCAAATAGCCGAGAGAATGTGCTCCGGAGAACAATGGGGAGGCGCCGCCGAAATCCTGTCTCGGAATGGGGTAGAACATGGAGAACATACCCAATCTACACATCCTTGGGCTGTCCGTGGAAAACGCTGGACAATCCGAAAGAGATACGGTGATAAATATGCAATTGAATGCATATTTATCGATGCAACCCTTTCGGACGGGAGACGCCTAGGTTACGCCAGTTGACTTGAGAATGAAATCTAGTGACATCAAAAAATGGAAGAGATGGACTTGTAGCTCACCCTCGGCTGTAGGGGAAGGACCGAAGGAGTCGAACAACAGACGAATGCTCAGGGAACAACGCGTCGGACGACGGTCACTTTGATGAAATGCAACACCACAAAGCCTGCAGAATCCATCGCGACAAAAAATTTAGAACATCACAACTCATAGAACATCACAATATCATCATCATCTAACAATCATCGAATCATAAAAAACATCATCATCATCTAAAAATTATCGAAGCATAGAAAAACATCATCATCTATCATCAACATCATCATCTACCAATCATCTATCATCCATCATCATCATCATCTCAAAATCATCGAAGCATAAAAAATCATCACTATCACTTCTCATCTAACAATCATCATCATGTAAAGAAATCCGTATGAACAAGTTATCTATCTAACTACCATCTATGCGTCTAACTATCACATTTAGCCCTCTTATCCTCTGCAAAATCATGAAAAAACAAAAAAAATGTTCTTGGGAGGGAAGGGGGCCGGACCTAACGGAGAGGAGGTCGAGGCGGGGACGAGGTCGGGGCGGGGAGGGGCGTTGGCCAAGGCATGGACGAGGTCGGGGCGGCAGCTGCTCCGGGGAAGGAGCGCGGCGACTCCGGGCAGGAGGCCCTCCCCTCACCACCGAGCGGCGGC